ACAGTGCATATGTTAAAGACCCTTGAGTTCCTATACTGAAGATACCCACTGAGCCCTGTTTAATCTAGTGTTTCCCAAACTGGTTTGACCAATCCTTCTGTTACAAAGCATTGACAAAGTTAGCACCCTAAGAAAATTCTCTCTGAGCCAAGACGGAGTCCTACCCTAGCTCCCTCTCCCGGTGTCCTGTTTCTTCCCCTCTTCTACTTGGCAGGACTAATGATATACAATACTATCCATGATGCTTCTTCGTGAGACTTCTCTCCCCAGTGGTGTCTATATTGCTTCAGTACAGGATGTTTGCCTCCCTCTGTATGCTTGGGAGCCCAGTGCTTGCTTCAACTGACAAATGCATGTTGGTTTTACAATACGTACAGGGACGGCATGATGCCCTTTAGATTTAGAAAGGGAAAGCATGGTCCAGGTCAAGGAAGTCACCTTACAAGTGGTAGAGACAGGTGATCAGAATGGATGTTAAGATGAGAACGAGAATGCTGCTTCCAGCCAGGGTACTTAGGGACTGAATTACCCCCTTACCCCATCAACAACAAACCCAAAGACAACACATATCATATGACAGCACTGGTTAAACTCATCGGATCACAAAACAAAAGAAAGACATGAACATGGGAAAATAACTTGCATGGGGGCTGTGAATGGGAAAGAGATAAGAAAAATCAAGGGGTTAAAGTCATCAGAATGGATTCTATACACATGTGTAAAATGGTTGACAAATGCATTTACTCTTAAAAAGACAATACACATAGAACCATAGCTTATAAGAACCTATAAATTAGACAGCCAAGGACAGTGATTTCTGAGGAACTAGAAACAGAAGACGTAAGCAAGCCCTGGACAGCTCTCTTGCAATGACGGCAGTGTCTGAGTCACAGCTACAGGAAGGGATATATCTAGAGCTTGATAGAGTCACTGATGGGTGGACACCAAAAGCTGAACTGTTCAAAGTGCTTAGTGTCCAAGGACAGGTCACACTAAAGGACACACACACACACACACACACACACACACACACACACACACACACACACACAGAAAGAGGGAGAGGGAGAGGGAGAGAGAGAGCTGCTGTCTGTCCCTTTGGGTGTCCAGCCACTCAGAGAACATTCCAGAGAGCCATTGTTGGTCCCTTTGGGTGTTCAGCTGAGTCCCTGTGTAGCTGGATGACGACTACTGAAGATTGTGTTGAAAGACCCATATGAAAAGGTAAGTGGAGAGGAGCCCCTGGCCCAAGGTCAAGGAGAGTGACTGCTTCCCCATCCACAGAAAACCTCCTGATTTGTGTGGTCCTGTCTACTTTGAAAGGTCTTACCTCAGTAATGGGGAATTAGTCCAGGATGATCCCTGCTCTGTGTCACCTATCAAATTTTAAAACCAAGACCTGAGAAGTTCAAGCTGTTTCCAAGCAACTTAACTACATCTCAGAACAAAGCATAGGGATATTTATATTTAAAAAATATCCAACTCTCAACGGGGTACAATTCACAATGTCTAGTGCCCAATAAAAAAAATTAACGTCCACACAAGGAAACACTATCATACCGCACAGGAGGAGGAAAAGATCCATCAAGTGACCCAGAACTGACATAGATGTTATGATTAGCAAAAGGCCCTTGGAAGAGTTCAAAAACCAAGCTTCACGAGTCCCCAGAATAGGTAGGGGAGGCATTAAGAAGCCCCGATCAAACTTCTAGCAACGAAAGCTACAGTACCAGAGGTGGAAAACACACAGAGGGAGACTGATGGCAAATTAGATCTTCCAGGAAAGAGAATACCAGTGCACACTTAGCTACACAAGACAGGAAGGGGGGAGACATGACATCTGCAGTGCACTAGTGGGTTGTATGTGGCCTTTGGGCTGTGTAGTCCAAACACAATTAAAGGCCGAAGGAGCTGAGAGAGAGTGGAACCCGGAAAGAGATTCAAAAGCATAATTACTAAAAATAATCCAAAGCTGGTGAAAACCACAGGTCTTCATACCAAAGTTTGATAGACAAAAAAACCATAGCATGCTCACTCCAGAAGGAACTGGATGGTTTGTTCATTCCACCGTCTAATTACGAAAGCAGATTCGTGATTAAAATTTTTCTCAAGTGACCTACCTACAAGGTGCCAATAATAGATGGGAGAGGAGGGTTGAAAAAGGAGGGGTATTGGTCCACTTTACTCAAGATTCCTATTCGTCATCTTTGCTCTGGGTTATAGGTGACTTTTTGCCTAAGCTTGCCATTCACATTCAGGCTGATGCAGTATAGTACCTGTATATCTAAATAATGACAGCCCTGCTATCTGTTGTCAGTAAGAGTCTTGCTTAGTGACTTCCTGAGAATGGAAGGGACGCAGATGCAGCCCCACCTCTTACACTGAATGACATGTGCCTATCCCCAGAGTGTTGCTTCTGTCTCCCACAGTTCTAGGCACCCATGGGAGATTGGGTGGCTCCTCTCAGTGGATCACTTGGCCCCTTCCTTAGGCCCAACCTGTGCTATGGCAGGTGTGTGAGTATTCAGACTGGCCCAGTGGGACAGGGGGTTGGAACTGTGAAGGGCAGGAAGGATCCTCCTTCCTCATGAAGTAACGGGCACACTATGTTCCCATCGGGAGGAGGGGATTTAGTGTCTGATGGAGGAAAGGTTTAAGACTCCTGAGAAAGTGCTTCAGCGCAATAACAGAAACAGGTCTAAATCATGACCCTAAATTTGTCACTAGAAGGAAATTGGCCCATAAATGTAACAAAAAAGTTCATTTAATTCTCTAAAACAAATCCACAGATGGTTTTGTTGGTTTATCCAGATGATGGTTCACCAAAAATAGTGAAGATTGAGCTAGCGGTAGCTCACAGACTCCGGTCTGACACCCGGGGATCCTGCATGGGACCCAGCAAGGTTCTTTGAATGTGGGTGACTGTTACGTGGCTTGATCTGTTTGTGGGGGTGCTGGCAGTGGCACCAGGATCTATCCCAGGTGCACGAACTGGCTTTTTGGAGCCCATTCCCCATGGTGGGATACCTTGCCCAGCCTGATTCAGGGGGGCGGGGCTTGGTCCTACCTGGACTTGGTATCCCAGACTTTGGTGACTCCCCAAGGGAGACCGTTATCCCCTCCGAGGAGGAGATAGGGGGTGGGGTGGGGGTGGGGAGTGAAGAGGCTGGAGAAGGGGTTGGAGGGGAATTAAAAAAAGAAACTCAGAAAATAGTGAAAATAGTTTTCTTTAAAAACAGCCACAACTATACTCCAGAGTATGTGGTAGACAGAGTAATACCTCCCCACGTATGTCTGTGTCTCAACCCTTGGAACCGTGAGCCATTTTACCTTATATATAGTAAAGAGATTTCCCAAAACTGGCTGAATCACAGATATGGAGATGGAAGGATGCCCCTTGACCCCACCCCCCACATGGCCCCAGAAAACCACAAAGGAGTGCTCGGTACTATCCATAACTGCATGAGTGAATGCATGAATGGAAGAGAAAAGCAGGGTGGCAGCCCCTGCAGCATGGATCAGCTGCAGCTGAATTTGAAGGTGCGTGAGCTGGGACACATGCCCGGAGTGTGAGCATCTTCTAGAGACTGGGGAGGGTAAGAAATCTTTTCTGCAAATGTCCACGGAAGGGGATGTAGCCCCCAGGACACCTTGATATTTAGTCCAGTGAAACTGAGGCCAGACTGTCCGAATTACAAGTCTGTGAGCCATGAGGTTTGATGCTCTTTGTTGCAGCAGCCATAGGAGGCCTCTTCAGCACCACACAGAGTTTCATGCAGTACGGTACACTCTAGTCTTTCTTAACCAACCTCCGGATATACAAATGAATTCTAGCTTTTTGTCAAAAATGGTGTTCTGTGACTGCCCAGACTAAGCCACAGGAAATATCTGAGGGCAACAAATAGATGATTTCTGAATGGCATCTCTCCCTTCCCATCCATGCAAATCCCAATTATAGATTTATTTTCCTCCTGGTCTACATCCTGGCCAGTGGTTAGTGTTTGTAAATGGTCATAAATTTGCCCCCCAGCACCCCCGCCCCCACTAAATGGCTTGAATTGCCGAGCCTTGAAGGGACAAAGATTCAGAGAGGAAGTTACATTCAAGGCGTGTTATTAAGCTACAAGTGTCACACTGAATCCTAGGCCCTGAGGTTATGATGCTCCTGGGCCAGAGCTGGTTCTGCCTCACCGATTTCTCACAGCTATTTACCCAAGCTCAACACTGAGACACAACAGCCAGAGACGGCATTGAGTAAGTAAATGAATGTTTTCCTAAATGGTGCCGATCAGCTAGGACACAGCCAGGAACATCCCCACAAGGGGCTTCCTGTGACAGTCACAGGGCCTTCAAAAGATTGAGAAAAATGGACCATGGAGCTGGGTGAGATCCCACACTGAATTCCAATTCATCCCGAAGAATGGGAAAAGGGGATTAGCACACGAATGTGAAAGAATGCGTGAATTGTCAGCTTGCAAAGTAGCCCCTGGTATGAAAATGGTTTGAAATTCTTTAATCTCTTTGATGATCAGAAGTCACTGCAGGGTGCCTGTGGTACTTGCAATCATGAATATTAACCATCGGGGTATGGGGCATATAAAAACGGATGAGGATTATGCAGGCATGTCTGAAGGCATGTTGCATTCCTATAGTTCAGATTTGGACACTTTCAAAGGCCTGGGGATGGCTCAGGGCACCTTACAGAGAGGAGCTTGCCTCCATCCTGTTCAGTACACCTTCATGACTTACCAGGCTTTGCATCTGGTACTGAACGTGGTGGGAGGCCCCCCCTCCCCCATAAGGGTCCAGGTGTCTACTGTCACCCTCCACATGTCCCTGCATTTTTCCCACTTCCTCTTCCAAACCACAATCCAAAGCACAAGGACAATGTCTTTCCTGAACACACCAACTTATAAACTCAGTCCCACGTTCTCTCCTGTGTACCTTTTGAGTCTTTCTTGTGACATGTGCCCTTCTCTCTAAGAGGCCAGGGGCCCTACCTGTACAATCTCCAGCATCTCTGCCTTGCTGATGTAGCCATTGCCATCCAGGTCATACATGCTGAAGGCCCACTTCAGCTTCTGCTCCAGCTTGCCCCTTGACGTTACACTCAGGGCTATGATGAACTCTCTAAAGTCTATTGTCCCATCTCCATTTGCATCAAAGGTGCGGAAGACGTGCTCTGCAAATTTGGAAGCATCCCCATAAGGGAAGAAGTTCCCGTATATTTTCTTAAACTCTTCCATTGACAAGTGTCCACTGGGGCAGTCTCTCAAGAAGCCTTTGTACCACTCCTGGATCTCGTGCTCGGTGAAGTCTGTGCTCTCCAGCAAGTCCTGCATGACTTCAGGACGCAGCTTGCTGTTCTGTTTCCCCATTCTGGTGGCAAGAATTCAGCTGCAGAGGGAAAAGAAAATACATAGCATATGTATTTAGAGCTAGCCTTTAGGGTCATGTGATCATTTGGTATTGTTTCCTGGAAGAGGGAAAAGCGAACAAACTCTATACTAACCTGGTAGCTAAACAAAATGATGGCAAACAGGTCAGTCAAGGATGCAGAAAAGGCATGCTAGCCAGAACCATCTGGAAAGTAAGCAATGGGTGGGTGGATGGATGGATGGATGGTCAGATGGGTGAATAGATGGTCAGGTAGGCAGATGGATGGTCAGGTAGAAAGAAAGGTGGAGAGACAGAGTCAGGCAGACAGACACATCTTAGCATGTTTCATAGTCATTATGCTTCCATGTAAAGTGTGGCTCATGAATTCTGGACACCATAAGTGCAGGAAGAAAGAATGGAAACACACGGTAAACCTCTGTCTAGCTACTCTGGTTAGTTAGATCCACAGGGACTTGCTGGCCACTTTGCATATAGATGGTAAAGGGGACGCTTCGGAAACATAGTCATGTTCTGTGATTATGGCTTAGGGAATAGGTCAACCTCAGTTTTCTAAATTATATATAACCTTGTACTTTCTTATCCCAACAGTAGCACATGTCCACAATCAGACGGTAGCACATCAAGTGACACGTCCAGAAAACCAGCATCTTCCAAATCCTAATCATTGAGACAGATGCAGCTAGCATTTTGGTGCGTATGTTCCAGGATTGTATGTGTGGGCTTGTTTAAATATGTTATTAATATCTAGTTCCCAGATTAGCTATTTTTTTTAACTTAACAGTGGCACAAAAGTGATATATATATATTCAGCAGGAGTTGTACTTTTGTGAATTTTGGGCATTGTCCAGGCCGGTGATGTTTGGGTCTGTGCTCTCTCAATGGCATGGCTACCGTTGAGCCTCAGCTCTGTGGGTGGCATGCCATGAGGAGGCTACAGATACTCTCCAGCAGGAGGCCTTCCACTTGTGACTCTCCTTACCCTCAAAAGTTTTATGTGACTATGGCTCACAGGTATATAAAACAGATATGCAAATGAGACATTTACTTACAACAAACCAGAAATTATCTTAAAACAATTCTTTTATAAACATATACATTTTCCATTTGTTAAAGGCAACAGCAGTATTAATTACCCAATCATGAGATGGGTATGTTTGTTTGCCTAAGCCAGAGACACACTGATTCCAGACAAATAGGAGGAGGGTTGACAGAAGAAGAATATTAACCGAAAATACTAACCGTCTTTGTTTTCTGTGACTAAACCACTATGTTTCCACTGGAATGGAAACCTTTATGTATAGAGTCCACACTTCGGAGTTCATAGCATAAAGGAGACTTGAATCTATCTGAGCTCTTTCAGGCAGCCCCCTTTTGCCTTGTGGGGTGTGGCAGCATGGTGTGTGATTCAAAGTGTGCAAGGTGTGTACATTGTGCCTGTGGAGCCGACTCTGAAGCGAAGTCTCATGATGCAACTCGAGCAAGCTCTGACAGAAACATCGAAGATTCATTATATGTTTGATTTTGAGCTTGAGAGTTTTGCCTGCATGTCTGTCTGTGCACCCATGTGGGCCTGGTGCCTGATGAGGTCAGAAGAGGCCATTGGACGCCCTGGAACTGGAATTTTGGACAGTTGTGAGCTGACATATGGGTGCTGGGAACTGACCTGGGCCACTTGCAAAAGCAGCCAGTGCTTTCAACCCCTGAGCCACCTCTCCAGCCCTTGAATTAATTTTTGGTTTTCAGAAACCATTTACCTGATGCCAAATTGTTCACACCCTACACACTCTGTTGAAGGATCTCAGGTGGAGCCCTGACCTGCAGCGAGAGCTTTGTTCTGCAGCGGGCTGGGGTGCCGGGGTTCTGGGTAGGTAAGATGTGTTTGATGCATTTTAAGCACAAATCACAATATCACAACTTATATGAGTTTAATGGGACTTAGCCTCACCATGAGTTAAGGAGTGCTTGTACTTCTTAATATTTTTTTTCCATGAGAAAAAGGTTTATTCATTTGTGTCTAATGTATGTTTGGATATGTGTGTCTCTGCCCATGGGTGGAGGTCATGGAAACCAACCAGTAAGTCACAGCAATTCTCCTGTCCCTGCTCTCTCTGGGTTGGGGTTACAGGTCTACACTGTTCACACAGGTGGTGGGATCTGAACTGTGAACCCGAAGATTGCACAGCAACGGCTCTTAACTGCTGAGCCATCTCCCTAGCCCCTAGTTTCCATTTGCAAAACAGAAGTGCACACTCTGGTGTTCCGGTGTGGGGAGCCCCTTTGATGGGGGAGGTGGTGGCTGTAAATTCTACTCACATAGCCATTTTGTGTCCGTCCAGCTTTTCTCAGGCTTCTGGGGATGAGAGGGTCAGATGTGACCTTTCCCTTAGGACACCCTTAGGCACAGAGGTGGGGGTGGCAGCGAGTATGGAGTCAGAAGGTCGAAAGTGGGTGTGGTGGGGTGGTGCAGGGACGAGGGGGCTCAGGAGCAGAGGAGGGGGTGCCCATGGGGGAGAGGGCAGAGGTACAGGGGGGAGGGCCACCCATGGGTGATGGGAAGGGGGAGGGGGCAGAGGTACAGGGAGCAGGAGCACTCGTGGGGGTTGGGGGAGAGGAATCAGGTGCAGGGAGAAGGGGGGGCTTAGGTGTAGGGAAGAGGAGGCAGAGGCACTGGGAGGAGGGACACCGGTGGGGAATGGGGGTGGGGAAGAGGGGGGAGGGAGAGGTGCTACCATAGCACATTTCTTACAGGCCGTAGTACCTGACTTTAGCCGAGGACTTTCAGACCATTGTGCAGTGTTGTGGTAAAACTCCCCAACAAAAATCAACTCAGGGTGGGAAAGGATTTGTTTCAGGTCACAGGCCATCATGGAGGGAAGCCAGGGAAGGGACATAAGCGTAAGCATGAAGCAGAATCCATGAAGGAATGCTGCTTGCTGGCTGCCTTGAAGGCTCAAGCCATCTGCCTAGAGGATGGTGCCGCCCACAGTGGTCTGGGGCTCTCCTAAATCAATTAGCAGTTGAGACAACCCTTCACAGACATAGCCACAGGCCAATCTGGTCTAGGCAATTCCTCTCAAAATTGACTGGAGGCTGTCAGGGTGATAGTCAAGCTAACTAGGACTTGTAGTCAGGATCCATCCCTTCTCATAGAAGAGGCTCCATCCGTGAATTTTACAGGCGCTCTGAAGGACAATCCAGACCAATTTTAATCCTGACTGCGTGTATTTCCCACAGCAGGATCTTTATCATCAGCCTCCCTGCTGTTGTCTGCCCTGCAGGCAGATCATAAAGGGGGAGGAGGTTGGTGTTGCCTCTCCTTGGCCCATCCTACAGGGCATAGTGTGAGCTAAAAACAAAGGAACAAGGGGGGGGGCATCACTCATTGGTAGACAGAAAGATGACTGACTTCCAGATGGACATGCAGGATAGTCTTGGAAGAGGAGCTTTGCCAGGAGGCAGACTGGCTTTGCCATGCTATTTGTCACACTAGAAGCTACCAGATGATTATTAGAGTCGCAACTTGGTCTCGGGGCCTCTGATATGGAACAGTCTGTCTGAGGCCCCCACTCAGAAGAAATTCCCACAGGGCAGTGTTTGAGTCTCTCAGTACTCAAACCTCTGTAACATCTATAGATCGGGAAATGAGAGGGATCCTTAGGAATCGCCTGGCTGGCTAGTTTTGATTTTCTCAAGTTTTATTTTCTCTGTAGTTGACACATGATAACTGTACATATGTGGCTTACAACGTGTTCTTTTTAGAGATGCCTGCCCAGTGTGATGATCAGATCAGGCTAATTAGAACATGCATCATCTCAAACATCCACCAAAGCCTCTTTTCTAGCTGTTTGGAAACACAAGATACACTGTTGTTAATGATGCCCTACTGTGTGGGAGAAACAAAGCCTGTCCCCTCATTCAGCTGTGGCACTCAGTCTCACTGCTTTGTAGACTCTGAGTTCTGCACTGCAGATGGGAATTGGCCCTGCTTTGGCTAACATACAGCAACCTCTTGAGGGATGAGGAGAAGAAGGACTTTCCTTCTATTAGCATGAGCAACAGCTGCAAGGAGGCCTCGTTTGGAGGTTTGTGTGAATGTGAAGTTGAGCAAAACCCACTTATATAGAGAGGAAAAAAAAAAAGACTTACAAATGAAGCACAGATCTAATTTATAAACCAAACATTCCAATAATGTCTGCTTCCCTCTCCTGGAAGTAAAAATCCTCCCAAAGATAGAGGCTGCTTTGTATTAAAATTTTAAAAACCTAATTTAGTTGCTACGTTGGCAATTTGCCTGAGGCCAGAATTCAGAAACAAGAATTGATACATAATGCAAAAGTTTGCAGGGAGCCAAAACATTTAATGGAATTTACAAGTGATTTTAAGTTCTCCTTTGGGGAGGTCTGTGGACGTCAGCTCTTGTATAGTATTCAGATTGCCACCATTACAGTTCTGTTCTGTGCAAATCATCCGGTACCTGAGGAAGTAGAGGGGATTGCTATTCTAATGTTTAAATCTACCTGTTTAAAGAAATATTTCTTTTCCTGTAGAAACATACTCTATTTCTTTAAAGTCAATTTATGGCCCTTTCCTAGCGTTTATTAAGAGCTTCTCACTTATTAGCTGTTTTATACAAGGAACAACATTGCCTCAACATTCTGACTAAGTCTCTCACAAGACTGATCTGTGTGCAGCTATTTTTCAGTAAACACTAATTAAACCACATTCACAATCTCATTAGCACAGAAAGATCGTGACACAAACAGAGAGAAGAGCATAAACTAAGTCATCTGGAAAGCAGATATTTGAGCTCTGTCCAGGATTCGTTTCTAGAATTGTCAACAAACACTTGAATGAGTACTGATGCCTGAACTTGGCAAAGTCATCTGCAATTGTTTGTCAAACAGAAAACAAAAGCCTTGATATGCCATAGGCTTTCATTCATGGGTAGACCTGTGAAAGGCTTTCCTTCATGGGTAGACCTGTGATAGGCTTTCGTT